CAGCCTTGGTGTTATACACCTGCAGCGGCAGTACAATAGCAGTTCGGGTAGGAAGAAATATTTTACACATTATACATACAAACGATCTCTTGGCTAGTAGGGGCGGCTACGGTTATATTCATGGTTTACCTGTAATTGTGTGTCTGATAAATGTTGCTAGGGTCTGCTTTTATGGCGACTATATACGCGTATATTATATGTGTGTGTACTGTGTTGTCCACAAGGTAAAATATTATAATATTATAAGAGGGTGAAAAAAAAACGTAGGTAGGTAGGTTAGGAATTCAATGAATACGAAAACATGCCATTTCTCGACCCCTTTGCACCTAATCCTTATGAAAAAAAATATTTAAATGAAATATTTTTATATGACACAAAAATGCTTTGTTGTACACTGTAACATATCTTGCCTGCAGTACTGTTTAATAATATTAAACTTGAAAAATAACCACTTTTTGAAACGTGCGGGGACGAATATGCGGTATGCGTACATAATAATATTATACTCTCACAACTGACAATATAATTACCTCGTACAACGAAAATATTTTAACAATAACACAATTATAAGCGAACTACTGTACACGAGTAAAATACACATTTTAATCTAAAATTAAAAATTGTATACTATTATTTTATTCATTCGACCTAGGTATATAACTCAACTACATGTATAATGACCATCAGTGTAGATTTTATTGTTAACGCTTTCCGTTTATTATTATTTAAATGCTCATAGTACATATTATAATGAACAATTTCGGTGGGCACCTACTTACTTTTGCGTTTTGCGTGTCTTGTACAATATTTAAACAGTTTCAGTCATTGCTAAATATGCCGAGGTGGGCGATGGTGTCATGCCGGTTTATTTAAATTATAAACTCTACGGTTGTTGGTTTTACTTGTAAGTATTCCATTATTTTTTTTCCCAAAGTCCTTACTATAATGGCATTAGTTTGTTTGCATATATTTATTTATTTTATATGTTGGTTAGCAAATATACGTGTGTGTGTGTGTGTCAGTGTAACCCTGCAAAGAAAACCTAATTTCACTGCGTAAACTTTGAAAACTACCTTTTAAGACTTTTTCAAGTTGATGCAAAAGTATCGGCATTAGTATAAAATCTAAGTTTGATAAAAAAAAAAAAAAGAATAAAATAAGTAAGACCTACACCGTAAAGAAGACGTTGACAGTTATCGTTATGACGTTATTCGTTACACCTTACATTAGGTATACATTATTTGTTGAACGTAAGTGCCTATGTGCTATGAAGTGTATATAATGTCAGAAGTTACGATTACATAATATGTTGAATATTAGTTTTATCAATTAAACAATATAGTCTATACCTATACTAAACTTCCAAATAATGTAAAAAATTACCATCGTCGTAATTTTGAGAGATCACGATTATCAAAAAATGTGTAAGCACGATAAACTTAGAATTATAATTAAAGAGGCCAAAAAAAATCATAAGTTATAACATACGACGGAAAAAGGTATACAATACTAATTTGCACATACCTATGTTTAATTTAGCACTGTTTAGAACAAATAAGAATATTTTATAGATCTAGATTATTTTCTAAATTTAAAAAATTGAATATTCTTCTAAATTCAAACATTATAATATGTGGTACTAAAATGTTTGGTTTATACAAATTATTGTATAGTACTGTATTATAATATATTTTGTTTAAATTGTAAATTTATTGCTTCGTGGATAATGGATATATTATATATTACACGGCTATTCCACAGTCACGTACATTGTATAGTCCACACCATATTATTTATGAATTATTATCAAACAGTAATTTCAAACATAATTAAACATTAATTTTTGTATTTTTTTTTTTTGAGTAGGAGGGTGTTGTATATCCAAGTGGTAGTCAAACAGGTATGGGGGGTGATGAGGGGCATATACATAACTCCATGACCTATTTTTCAATGTTTAAGATCTGCAAATAACCATAAATTATGTTTTTAATAATCAAATAGTGCATATTAAAAAACAGCCATATCCCCCCATGAAAAAATAATTTGACCACCACTGTGTATATCCGATATCGTACATGACGTATTATTATTATTATTAAGAACATTTAATCGTTATTTTGTTATAACTCATACATGAACATCCGTCGATAGTTGTAAATGCTTATTAAGGTATCATATCTTCCTGATATTTCACAAAATATTCAGATTAGAATTGTATAGATATAAATATATAATTATATTATAATGTAATAATGTATTTTTCAATATTTTATATTGCTCGATTTGACTGTTTATAGATAATTTAAATATTTGACTTTTTTTTATATAATATGTTGATAAGATTGTTTTTCTAAGTTAAAAGCTTGAGTTTAATATACCGCGGTTCCTCATCTTAAGTTTATCTTACAGTAATTAAAAAATATTATATTAAAATACAATCCCTTTGTTATTTATAATAGTGTTAGAAGTTCAAATTTTGAAAAAGTTGTCAAACTCACAATAGTGTATAAATAATTTCGTAATTGAAAATCAGTATAAACATTAATAAAATATGAAGGGTTAAAGATAAAAAGAAAAAATGTAATAAAATCCATGGATTCACAATTTTTTCTTTAAATTTGTCTATCCATAGAATTACCTAATTATATTTATATGGTGGTATAAATGTATAATATACAGGGTGATTTTTTAAGCGTGCTTTCCTTTAATAGTAAATTAATTTTTCAAATTCTGATTTTTAGAATTTTTAAGCATACTAAAAAACCATATTTTAAAATTTCAGATATTTTTGTACTACTAAAGTAATGTCCTGCAGTGACGATACAAACTTCTATTATACAAATGAGAACTCCCCACCCTTTTTTACTGCAAATTATTTAGTGGATGATTATTGATGTATCTATAAATAAAAATTCTAATGAGTTGTTTCTGACTTTCTGAGTTATTAAAATGCTTATACTTATTACTTAGTAGAATAACCCTTAAAAATAGTTTTACAAAACTTTAAAGTATATGTAATATTATGTACAGTATAATTTAGTAAACTTGGATATTTTGTATACAAATTATTTATATTAATAGATCAATAGTAATAACTAATAAATATAATAACTAACATTTTAAAATCATGTAAGTCCCATATCACCATTTATACTTAACCCGTTACCATAGACATATTTTCTTTAGTTAAAAAAGTTATATTACTAAAAAACAACCCTTTCAAATATTGGTTAAGTGCATCAATATTTTCAAAAAAAAATATCGATTGAAGAATTAAAAGTGAATAATGCGGGTTCCTATTTGAAAAAGATAGGTAAGTTTCTATAATTCCCAAGATGATCCTTAAATGGTACAAAAATCTCAAGAATTCAAAAATATGGTCTTCAAAAAAGAATTTGAATGCATCTACCTAATTTAAGCATACAAATATGGTGAACATGCTTAAAAAATCGCTCTGTATATTATATCTGAATGTTTAAAACGACCAATTCAAACGATGTAATAGCTTTATGTGAGTACAAGTTTTGTAATTAGAGTAATTAGGGTGAAATGCAACGCCCATAAAAAACATGCAATTAACAACGACAATGTCAAGTGACATCAAATCAAAAATAGTTAAGAACGACATAATTACGGTAGGTACAATCATTGTACTACAATGGTTAACGTTTATTATAGGACTACTTAATGTAATATACAATATAGACTTTTAAATTAAAATTTAATTAAAAGCTCTGCATGTCTTTTATCTTTAATCTTTTTAACAAGCAGTATTTAATAGAATATATCCATTCGAACCTCCACGGAATGTTACCGAGACTGAATAACGATTGTACATGCCACTGAGAATTCACCATACCAATTTTATGAAACATTATAAAAGTTATTAACAGTAAATAATTGATATTATGATTTCAAATAATATTTTATTTTATTTTATTTGAATTTTAGTGTTTCATCAAATTGATACAATTTTAATAATCAATTTAAACATTATTTTATATTATGCATTCTTGAAAAGGAATTTAAATATTTTGTAAATTGTATCACACTTAACTAACTATAATATTATGTATTTAAATGATTTTATTTTATTATTCATATTTTTAAGTTATTTTTTTCTCTATAAAATCAATTTTTCTACAGTAAATATTTTGAAAAAATTCCTTGTTAGCAAAATATACATAGAAATGATCAAGCAACTAATATTTAACTAATTAAAAATATTATATTCTTGCCTTGTAGTTTTGATAGTTTATCATGTGATATTTTGGTTTTAGGATGACATTGTGTTGATGCATCGTTTAGTTCTATCTGGCACTATTCTAATTTTTTCTAACAGTAACCACACCATTTTCAACCGGAATACTCCTCTCAAAAAAATCAAAACTTACCACGTTACTTTTTCTTAATCTCACTGCCTCTGTACATATTTCGAAACAAAGTAAAATTATTTACTGTGTACAAAACTTGTGATTTTTTAAAAATCGTTTTTCAAGTTTATTAAACTAGAAATTAGAACAACAATTATAGGTAATATAAATAAAAAAATATTTAAAATTAAAACTCTCAAAAAAGTAAATTTTCCGTTTCAATAGCCATAAGAATACTGAATATTGTTTACACAGTTATTGTTTTGAATATTTTTACCTATACATTATAAATGTTGAATTGTAATAACTCTAAAAAATTTCAAAAAGACAGAAATGTCAAATTTTGAAAATAATAATGTAATATTAAAAACATCTTACATCACTATATGGTACAAGCATAAGATAATAACATTTGTAACAATTATACGGTCAATAGCCAATACTATTTCGAACGTTCTGGTATCGTTGTCCATAAATATGGAACCCAACCGTAACCTAATCAAAATACTTGTATATTAAGACCTGCGACAGACACTAGACTTAAACACCCCTATAGTTGCACTTGGTATCGATCAATACATTTGTTAATTTGTGTGTGCCCTCAGATGGACCGCCATCGCCGGACATATGTTCGACGGCAGCGGCGGCGGCAGAGGCGGCGGCGGCAGTGGCAGCAGTAGCAGTAGTGGCGGCCACATGGACGTCAAAGTGGTGTACGCCAACCCGAACGGGACGCTGTCCATACTGCCCGACACTGCGGCCGGTGGGTCGCCGTGGCGTCCGTCGTCCGTGTCGTTGGCCGCGGCGTACCTGACGCTGTCGTCCGCGGCCATCGCGTCCAACGTAATGGTGCTGACGGGCATCGTTACCACGGACAGGCTGCGGTCGCCGTACGCGGTGCTCGTGTCCGCCCTGTGCCTACAGTGCGCTATGGACGCCGCGGTCGGCCACTGCGCCACCACCAGAGAGCTGTTGACGGGTGTCGGCGGCGGTGGGGCCACCATGTGCCGCGGCGTGGCCACCGTAACGGCCGCCCTGTCCGCCGTCGAGCTGGTCACGTTCGCCGCGCTCGCGTGTCTCAACACGTTCGTCCGGGCCGACTACGCCGAGCTGCCCCTGCCGGCCGCTGCCACCCTGTGGGCCGCCCCTTCCATGTACACATACGTCATACTCACGCCCACGCTGCTGTTCACCACTCGATATTTCCCGTCCAGGTACGTACTCCATCACCCTACGTATATACGACAGGCTGTTGCGTGTCGCTGCATGATTGAGAGCATTAACACAGTTTTTTTGACACACGGTTTTTTCACACGATTGCGAGCAAATTTGTAAGGTACTTAAGTATCAAAGGATATAAAGAAATACAAACAAAAAAAAACCATTTTTATTGAGCATAAAAAAAATCTGCGATGTCATTGGTCATGTTCGTTAAGCAATTTTGAACTATATTTTCCACAAAATGTAGATTCAAATTATTACGATAACACAATTATATGGTATGAATTCAATATACCTTTACGATTCCGCGGTCATAAATCATAATATAATGCGACGTACCTGTTGATAATAATAATAATAAACAATCAGGCTAGGATCGAAAACTCACTATACTCAAATTGAATTATTTCTATAATAATTTGGCAATTACTTACAGTTATTCTACTTATCAGCTGTAATGGCCATATTATTGTGAATGCCTTACCAGTGGGCAGTGAAAAATATTTAAATGAGTTTCATAACGTTTATATCATGGAAAAATCTAACTTTGTGATATTTTCAACTGAACTTTTACCATACAGAACAGGTTTATTATTAATCAATAACATTTTGGATAAGTGTACATAAAAAAATAAGATATACCGTGTGTAATTCCTATATATTGTAAATAGCAAATACGTGAAATTAATAATTTACAAAACTTAAGGTCAAATGTGGTAGCGTATAAAATATTCTATGTTCAATCGTATATTTTACCGAAATAACGGTATGTGCAGTGACATGCTTAAGTTCGGGGAGATGCTACCACCCGTCACCCTTATACCATAGTAGCATATAATTTGAAAGTCCACACGATTAGAATGACAATTTCTTTTATGAAATTTTACATTTTAACATTCATTGGGGACACTGAACAGACATTTTTCAATGCGTTAAAGTGGTTCATCACTTTATCAATGAATTATTTTAATATTTTTTGACAATACTTTCTGGTTTCTATATATTACCTTATACATAAGCACAATCATTAACCTAAGTTAATGGCTACAATTATTGTTTTATAATATTGTACTCTTAATATAATAAAATTGTTTAATACTCTTAAACGCTATAACATGTTTGTGTATAATGTATATAACAATTAACAATATACAAGTTATACTTTTATTTTGTAAATGTGGGGAGCTAATAAAACTATATATTTTTACCTCTAGCTGCAGTAAACCTAAATACACCACTTAATTAATTTACCGTCAGCCACTCATTTTAAGTATGATTTTGTAAAATTATATACGTTAGAAATTACTAATAAGTAACAATATTTTTTATACTTCGTGGTATTTTTGGCTTACCAGTTACCAAAATGAAAGGTTCTGTTTACGCATTTCTTAAAAATCTAAAGTGGTTATTAAAAACCATATGAAAATGTTTTCAAAATTGAATAATTTTAAATTCCACGCATAAATAACAATGCCACTTTTAGAGTTTTTGAAGGGGTGGGTAGAAGAGTTTACTTGTATAAATTATACTGTAATCACCAGGTGATATACATAGAACAAACACGTTGTATAATATCGTTGCAAATATACGAGTGAGGGCACGATCGCGACAAGCAAACAGAATAGGTACTTAAAAACGTCGATATTTTACAATTTATCGCTGTTTGCAGAGAAAGTGCTCTGTATATAATATTATGTTATTAAAATAATATTATAATACCTGTGTAATAGAAAGCAGGCTTTAAATGTATACTCGTAATGAACATTATAAAAAATTCACTCTGGAATCTATCATCGAATCATAAAATGTGAAATATGAATAACTTATAATTTTTTTTTTATTATTGATCTTAAGCGTTGGAAACTATGGCCATTAGCATTTCGTAGGTGGGTAAATGTGGGTTACAGTTGGTTGAGAAACACGTGTATGTGGGGGGGGGGGGCGAGAATTGGTTACTAAAAACCCGGGTGGTCACCAGTCCGGGAACTAGCGACGTCGGCTGATACTTAACTTCAGAATACGTTAATGATCATAATATTGGAAATGTTGTAAATAATAGTTTTAAGCCTTATACTTTATAGTGTATACCATTATTATGCTATTAGAAACTCAAATAGTTGATATAAAACAAAAATTACGTTTCGTGGAAAATGTTTTTAAGTTTGTTTTCAAGTGCTTTTAATTTTACAGGGCACAAAGCTTTGTATATGCTTAATCATAAATTTACTATAACCAATTAATTTTTATAAGCCAAAAGCATATTATTATACAGAATTGTTACCCGATTGATGTGCATAAAATATATCAATATGGTTATACAATGGTTCTGGTTTCACTGCATATTTTAAATTTTTTGCCACAAATACCGAAATACAATGGAGTTTCAACTTCCCAAATTTCCGTACTTAATGATTCGAATAACTTTATATTAGTACACAAGTCGATGAAAATGTAATTACCTACCTACCCACAAATGACAAAAATATAAACGTATGCGAAAAAAATCTATTCCATCAACAAGTATTTCAATTCCCAGATGGTCAACTGGTCGTTTGTAAACGTATTACGAAAAACGATATTCTGTGGAAATAAATTATTTTCGCAGATTTTCAATCAGTGTTTGTCAAATTAAAATTCGATTACTTTATTTAAATTTAATTATTTTGTCAACTCGATCATATTATTATTCTCATTTCTGTTGAAAATAAGTTAAATAAATTCAGTTGAGTTATATAACTATTATATCTCTCTCTCTATATATACTATTAATGAACTAGTAAATTGAATAACAATTAATTTTAAAAATAAACATACTACAACAGTTTACTTTTAAGATAATTTGTTGCATATTATACAAAATAAAAATTGAAAAATATATGAAAAAAATAAATAGGCACACACACTTATATTTAAAGTTATAATATTCTAAAATATTAAAGTAATTTTTAAATATTTTTTTTTCAGGGGTCGTTGCGGTTTCATTGCAAATACAACTGGATGGTTTTACCCATCTTTATTGATTGTTTTCAGTTTTATGATACCGTGGTCGATATCATTTTATTTTGTTTTTGTATCCCGCCCTTCGACGACTACCAATTCGGCCAATGTCATAGTGACAGCCACCCAAACAAAAAGCCAAATCGATCTTGTACCGTCCAAATTAATTTTTGCATCTTATACAATTCTTGTAACACCAAGTCTTATTTCGTCTAGTGTTTACCTTTATAGCAACCCGAACATCAATCCTTGGGCCGAAAACGAAGCACCAGAAGACATCTTAGATGGCTTCTTGTCAAAACTGCCAATTCTGTTTGACGTATTTGTTCCGTTGGTCCTAATATACTATCATAAAGTGTTCAGAAAAAAATGTAGGGAATTGTATTTACATGGGTTTAGGAATTCCGTCTCAGACGGCCGTCAAATCTTTATCGAAAGACTGAGACGATCTAGAAAGAACGAATGTTTAGCAGATGACGCACCCGTATTATTTCTTGAACGGTCTGGCATGATAAACGTTAGGTTTCCGAGCGAAGGCGGTTTCATGATGAAGATGTGTGATTTGAATCAAAGAGAAGACAATAATTCAAATGGCAGAAAAGAAGTTCGTTTTTCGAGAAAAGTGAGTAAAGCTCCAAACGAAAGCGGTATTTATAGTACAAAAGAACCTAGGGACGAAGAATCGAGCCTTTGAAGGGAAAACATAAATAATTATAAAAGTAAAGCATACTTATTATTACATTCCATAATTTAATTTATGTACATCTATATGATTATGTAATATAAAATAAGTATCATGGTATATAAGGTACAACAAATTATTAAATTACATTTAATTTTTATTGAGTCTGCATTTAACGTATAATATAACAATGGAAAATCGAAATCAAAATTATATTATTTAAAAATAATTTCACTGTAGACAAATAAAAATGTAATGCGTTTTTTATTAGGTATATATTTTATGTTTATTGTAAACAATTAAAAATAATTTATTTTATTATTATTATTATTATTATTTATTATTACCAACCCTAATAATAATTGTGTACAGTTTTTATAAGGTCTTAATTAATTGAAATTGTATTTTTTACAAAGACAATATATTTTTTATTCATACCCTAAATCTTTGATTACCAATAAAATTAGCTGGTTGCTGGACACCGAATAGTTGTGCACCGTCTGCGAATCCTAAGCCTCCACCGAATCCTTGGTTTTGATATCCATATCCTAGCTTCTGATAAGGATTGAAAACGTTTCCTCCTTGGTACCCGTTCCATCCTAAATTGTAACCCTGACCCTGATTGGTTTGGGAATACGGGAGGACGTGTCCCGTGTATTTTCCTTGATCGAATCCGTCAAATTCGTGAGCGAACCCTCTCTGGATGTATCTGTTTCCGTATTGTCCGAATGATCTGAGCGCCATGAGAAGAACATAGACAGTGGTAAGCAGAATCTATTTATTTTTATATTTTTAAAACGTGTTAATATAATACGAAAACTATATAGTTGAAAATAAAACCTTATAGGTATATTAAAAGAAAGTATTATATTATTTACCTTGGTGTTGACGTCCATTATTATATTTTATTATACTCGTATTATATTGAACGTGGATAGTTGATTACTGGTTGCTGACTTGAAACCGACTGAAGATCAAAACAACTGACACTGTGAAAATGATCCGAACCGAAATTAAGAGGGTACTTATATAGGAAAAGTAATACACCATGTTCATTCAAAAAATAACGTATAATAACTACCTGTTAGATAATAAATGACAAAACAAACTTTCCAATTTGGATCGATTAAAGTAATTTTAGAATATATTTTTAATAAGATTCGCCGGATTGTATAATAGTTAAAACGCCATAAAATCGGTTTTAAAACGTTATGCTTTGATTTGTGATTTTAATTTATAACATTATAACTTTAAGTACATACGTATTTTATTTGCTAGTTCGCTATTATTTTGAATCGAATCAATAGTCAGTATCATTCCTTCATAATTTAAAGTAGGTACTTAATCATTTAGGTACCTGCTATGTTATCATTATAATAATATTCGAATACATAAAATGACCACGTTGCAGTATTCCTCTAAATATTAATACTTTTAATCGGGTGATTCGTTTGATCAATGCAGCTCAACAATTTGCCGAAGAACCATTCGCGTTATATCGAATAATTAAGTATTATTACGATCGCAATAATGCTATAGACATAATATTGTTATAATTCAGTTGCATATTCCTACACTCACAGAGTCACAGGTTTTGTCTGGTCAGTGCTGGTTATCTGCAAGTAAAAAACTTTACATAATATTATACCTAAGGGAGTTTCTACGTAAAAATCAGGACGGCAACGTAGAATCAATATAATTGTGTGCAGTGCAAAAGTGGACGTCACTCGTGACGGTAATTGAAAATCGTCCTTCACAGCGGCGATGGGGGTGTCCTCGTTCGCCGTAATCCTGCGCAGGATAGCTTCTGCAGGAGAGCAATACAAATACATATTATTATACTATACGTCAAGTATAATAATATTATTGTTGTCCCCCTCCCCCATTGGCTGCGGCAACTGTGACAAATGAATTTCATCGCAGTACCGGCGTGGCGTCTTCGCACGTGTGAAATCACTGAAGTTGATAATATTATAATATTTCTAATTTAACGGTATTGTTATTATCACAATGACGTCGAAACGCGTTATTCGACTCCACTACAGTGACATAATAATAATAAAAAAATAATAATATGTTGATAAATAGAAATTTTTAAATTATAATAATAAAATAATGCAATATTATTATAATATATAGTGCATCTACAGACGAAACCACAATGTTCTTGGTTTTTTATATATATATATATATTTTATATATATATTTTTTATATATATTATTATGATTACGGTAATCCGAAAAATAATAATTTCCGGCACTCTTTGCCGAACAGATTACAGTCATCCCTTCTTTCGGACAAACTTGTAACCCGACCGTCTGATGTTATGCGCACCACCGCTAGATCACGCAGTGTTGTTGATTATTCAATTATTATTACCCATGTCGTACCATAATAATATTATAGTACGGTTTTCGGTAATTTGAGTCCGTAACTGGAGATGTACAGGATTATTATGATTTACATGTATACTGTATAGGAGTATAGACCCAATCCTAGAATATGTACCTAACCAACAATATGTCAATATGTGATATCAGATATTACACTGTTCATAATAACATCAGAATTAGACTTATTTACTATCAATATAATTGTATCGTTGTTTGTTGGTTTTGGCATCATGTCCTATACGCTGTAGATAAAAATAATCACACATGAGCAATTACATGAGCACATAATAAGTGGAATTTTTATGCACACAATGAAAACTGCTTTCATACTGATATAGGTAGGTACTAGGTAGTTTGCCCTGTATCAAATAGAAAATATTGATTTATAAAATTAATACTTATTAATACTTCAGTCGGATCTTTTTGTTCACCATTATAATAATAAACTATTACAGTTATTACTGATTATTTTTATCATATCAACCTATACCTACTGTTTAATGACATAATATACAAAATGGAAAAATCCTGTCATTAAAATATTTTATTTTTCTCAGATTATTGAATCATGAGAGATTTTGATTATTACCTTTTTTTGTTGTTGCCGAAGTTACCGCTGCAGAATACTTAATAGCCGGTACCTGACTCGGACCATTCGAACAAAGAAAATTATGATTACGTGACTTATTGGACGGAATAACAATATAAAAAAACAAAATATATACGAAAACTCTGTAAAATATAACTTAATGAATTGTACCTACCTACCACCTGTTATTATTATCTACGGGTAGGAAATAAAGGAAATTACAATATTACACGAAACTATCAGGAAGTGATTTATTATTTTTGAATAATTACGTTCAACGAATTGAATGGACTCGAGTTTCGCACTACTAACTAAGTTAATTTGACAATTTTATGTCACACTTGGAAACCAAAAGCCAACCGAGATGACTGAAGACTGAAATATAAGATTTATATTGTATATACAAAAAAAAACTTGAGGTAGGCACCTACAACGGATAAGCGTGTGCAATTCTTTTGAAAATCCTATCCTCTAAAGTAGTGTAGTTATTATTAAAATTATGTATAAAATATGTCAATGTTTCGTCATAAATCATAATTTTATGAAATGTGTAAAATTATATAATGTGTATATTATGGTCGGTTCTTATATTTTTTACTAGTTAAAGAATTACTTGTGGTTTGGAAAACTCCTTATACCTACTTAGAGAACTAATTCCCGAACTGGTAAAATAAATTCGAGAATTAATTCTTTATTACACAGAGTCAAAAAATAACTGATCAGCCTTTTAAAAAATACAAACAATCAACTCGTTGTTTAGTTATGAGGTTCCTATAGGTATACTAAAAAATATTTATTAAGATTTAATGTTTATTCTGTTGTTATTGTGGAGGGGGGCATATAATGTTTGTCAGTTTAGTTATTATTTAATTTGCATAATATTATGACAATTGCCAATTGGTAAGCAATGTAAAAATATAGCGATAATTTTCTTTTTAAATTTAAATGAAAAGTACGGCGTATAGGTACCCTTGAATTTATTTACCAATACACCGGGTCACATTATTAGTTTATGTGACGTAATTATTGCAAGAGAAGCTGAAGATTGAGGAGGAAATATTAATTAGGTGCATTTTATTAAGCTCTACGCCCCTACTTAAAACATATATATCTATACAAAGATAGTGTTTAGAGCTGGACCATAAAACTTTACCGGCTCTTGAAACTCGTAATTTATGCTCCGGCACATTTGGGACCGACGGCTTTCGTCTAAATTCTTTGAATATATTCAGAGCGTTGTAGTATTACGTGGCGATTAACTATCTAATTTAATTTTCAACCCAACCGGCTTATCATTATTAGTCGTGATATTTACATCTCATTCGTGTATATATTGGTTTTTACCCGATTATTACGACAATCTATATTATTTAAGTACATGTGCGCCTATACACACTCGACGGTTCTATATTAACTACTGTGCAGCGATCAGTATTATGTGAGATTTATGATTTATAAATTATAATATCCTTACCTAGTGGTTAAAAAAGTTTTGGAATTGTGCACAGTGAGGCGGAGACGCGAAGTGGCTCTACAATATAATACTCTAACCGGGTAAACTGTTATTTTAGGTCAATTTTAAATTTCCCCTTTATACTAGCACTGATATAGGTAAATTATGTTGAATTAGATTGGCTTAAACTTGTATATCAATTGATCATCGTACATTGTTTACACATGGCATCGATCGTCATGATATTTAAATTAAAAAACAATACCTATATGGCTATATTACTAATTACCTACTATTATTAGGGACCTATTATAATATTGTAATATATTAGTATACCTATAAATGAGTTTGACAAAATACATTTTAGCTGCCACTTTTTGGAAATTCCTACTTTGAAAATTATAATTCAATATTGTTAGTAAATTTCATCAATCAGCATAAAGGCCAGGATATCTAAAACATTAAATTAAGTTTATAATTATTAATGATCAATTAGTTAGTTATTACTTATAAATTATGATAATATAATCTATTTAAGTTGTATTAATGTATTATGTATATTATAATAAGATATGAATTGTTAATAGTGGGCTAAAACGAATATATTTCATGTAGTATTCATCCTATCATCAATATTCGCATAAATGGTCATATAAAATCACACCATTATTGATGCCTCGAAGGCAGTGGTGCAACGAGTGAGGGGCGGGGTAGTGGGTTTTAGAAGCCCTCCAAAAATATTCCTTATTAATTTAGATATAAGTCACCTATGAGTTATATTAAATTAATAGTTTTGTTAGGTGGGGTGTAGTCTCCCCCCATTATTTTGACCCTAGTAGCGCCTATGCTCAAAGGAACGCGCTTAAATACGCCACTGAATTGGCTCAGCCATAATATTTTGCACGCAGTACCGCGATGTTCACCTGCTCTGAGACATCACCCCTTTTGGCCTTGCCAACCGGCTATCACCGTTTTCATCACATTTTATTTGTATTAGATTAAATATCAAAACATGATCTCTTTTCAAGATATATTATAATTATTGTACTTCTCTTATTATGTTTGTAGGCCGTATTTCATACTCAAAAAGTCCACAAACACGGTAGTGGTCCTGATTGGCTGATTAATAAAAGTAATTGCTCTCCGTACGAGTTTAGTTGGGTTTTTTATAATATTAACCTCTGTTATTTACTAGAATATACCTACCTGACCGTGATGTGAACAGTTGTTCAAGAAACTAAATTCTTCATATTATATAGGTAATGTAACACTACTATAAAGTCATTAATATTAGAAAAACGTATACAA